GCAATCAGTTTAATCATGATTAAACCGATTAAACGATCTAATTTAGTAATTAGATAATAACTAATGTAGAGAGACTGTAAAACTTTAAAGTTATACATCATTGTATATCATTTTCTCAGCTTTTCACATTTCTGAACATTATAAAACATCATAAAAAGTGCTGCTGTAAGGTTTATAAACTTTAAAAATAATTACACTTCGTCATTTGATGTAGAACATTACTCAGTTTTCACTAAGCTTTAGATAAAGAGACAAAGTTAACTGACTGAAACAAATGGCAACAATATAGCATACCGTGTACCTGTCGATTCTTTTAAATGAAAATATACACCCTTAAACACGTATTTGAGATTACATGCCAGTCATTAAGGTCCCATATTATACAAAATTCACATTATACTTTATGGGACTTCCTTCATAAAAATGTCACATTTTGAATTCCCAATGCATTTATAAATTCCAAGTAAATTCCTAATTAATATGTCAAGATGTTTGTTAAGCAGAGATCACTGCAAAAATATAAAAGTAAGAAAACAGGATCTAACAAGAGATATATCTTGCAACTGTTGTAAGAAACTAGATGTAACAATCCAAGGAAATTGGCTAAGAGAAAAATGGCCGGAAAATAAGCAAATTTTCCTTTCAGTTCTAGGCAAAGCTTGTTTAATACCAATATCCTAATTATTATAAATATTTGGGAATTCATGTCCTTTTCAAAAATACATATGTGAGATAGTTTTCCCCAATATGATAATTTGAAATGTATCATATGTTTAACTAGATTTTGTTATTTCCAAATAGGAAAAGCTTTGAAGCTTTGCATAGAGTCAGAGAAAAAAATTCTCATTAAGGCTTCTAGTGGCCGCCTAACAGTCTTTCTTCTCTCTTTAGTATTACGTGTTCATCATAAGCTACAAGACGAGACATTAATTGACTTTCAATTGATTTTGATTTTCGATTGACAGATGTGAGAGTGTTTCAAACTTTGCCTTTTTTTTTTATGCCCCCACCTTCAAAAAATCAGATTTTATAAAGAAAACAATGTCCTTAAAGATAATTGTTTAATTACGTAACTGAAACTTAAAAACAAATATAAAACTAAAGCAAGCTTGTAAATAAGTAAACAATTTCCTACTGAGCAGTTCATGTTATTAACAGATGCATGAATTTCTATTTTGTTATTAAATTTATTTTCTTGTAATTTTTTGTCTTGTTTAAGCTCGGTGGAAGACCTGAAGAGCAAATTCTGTTCCACTGTGGCTAACGACATCATGCTGGTGTCCACACTGGGAGTTATCCGGATGTGGGCAGATGAGCTCAGCCGCAAGAGTCGCTTCCGTATTCTTTTCACAACCTACCAAGAACGTAAGCAAACACTGATTTAAAACACTTTACTTACTTTAATCTAGCAGAATAAATAGGGAAAATGTTTGGAAACAGATATAAAAGGTAAACATAAAGTAGCAATTACATTTCTGGCCAAAATAAAAGAAGACAAAAAACAAAATTCTCAGTACAACGGATATTGTTTGAAAGTACTTTTTTATATTATGAGAGGTAAAATATTTCAGCTTACCTTGTTAAAACATTTAGATACTACATTTGCATTTGAACAGTGATTTTTAAAGAGTTGTTACGGTAGCACACATTAAAAAATATCAGCAACACAAAAAGCACTAGAAGTTCTTATGGTGTGTAGACGGCTTCCCTATTTAAGACCTTTTTTCCATGCAGTACCATGATGGGCTGTTGCTGGGGCAACACTGCATCCTAAGTCATTTATCCAATCCTCAGCCAGACTTTGCCTTTAGAGGAACATCGACCACAGCTGAGCAGTTTTACAAGAACTCTGTCAAAACGAAATGGACAGATGTGTTCGATCTCTGGAAAAGAAAGAGTTAGAGAAAATCTTTCAGTCGGCTTTCCAGCCGTCTTTCCTTTTTGTGAGCATTTTTGCAAAAGATTTAAACAATGAATAGGACCCAGATCAGTAAAAGGCATGTATGATCATTTTGTTACCTTTTCTTTTAAATTATGTTCAGCTTTCGGTGTTTAATAGTAATATCATCAGAATTAAAACCTAGAAATCAGAAGAATTGCACGCTAAGTAAAGGTCAGGTTCAAAGGAGCCAAAAATCTTGACCAAATGTGACTTTGATGATATGTTTGGAGTTCAAGTAGTTGAACTCATAACAAAAATAGTGGCTTATTCAGTGAGGATGGAGTTACTGTATGAGAAATGTTGTTTAAAAGTAGTAGCTTAAAACCAAACAAGTCGTCTTCGTATGACTGGATCCCAAAGATATCTGTTGCAAGCCTGGTCAAATAATTCACTAAAGTGGCAAATTACTTCTCATGAAAAAAACAAAAAAAAAACTGTTTTTTGGGGGGTATTTTTGTCCTCTGTAAAGATAATGTACACAGATATCTGCTGTGGTTGTGACTGAGATAAAAAGCGTTTCATCCTGATTAATGTATTTGTCCTCGCTCTGCCATTAATCGTGTGGTTTTCTCATATTACTTTGTTTTCACCCTTTAAAATACAAATTATTCTTGTTACATAATCCTAGGGCAAAACATATTTCTAATGTTTCATTTTTTTCTGAGTGAGAAAAAAAAATCAGTTCTTATGAATTGAATGGCTTGTCTTTAACAAAAATGTAGACTTGTTTTTATTTTTTTTTATTTTCCTAAGATTTTAGGGTTTCTGGCTCTTTAATGGTGGTATATGCATTTATGGGCTTCTCAGCTTGATGCATAGATTTAAATGAGGTCAAAAGAAAAAAAAATAATTAAATACTGGACAATGTACAAATGTATAAAAACAGTCCAGCAACTCAAAATAGAAAGGTTTAGAGGCTGCATTGGCAGCATACATCAGAGCTTATCCTGAACTTAAACATTTAGTTTGTTTATTCCCAGTGGAACAAACAGCTTTTAGAGAACTGTTTGCAGTTGCTGAATTCCACTGAGATTTTCCTGCGTGCAGAGTGATGTTGATGAAAGCAAACGGCTTCCTTCATTCAAACTGACCTTCCTCTGCTATCCACACTTACATACAGTGCTGCTTTGCAGAGCCAGAGTTCATGATTGCAAATGTAAGCTAAAAGACAGTAAACTCTCACTTAATTCGAGAATCAATTATGTCTTATGTGATAAATGTGTCTCTCAGCTGTCAGCATTGTTTGACCTCATCTGCAACATATCTCAGAGGCTGCAGATGGAAATTTGCTCTAGCTTCTTTACACACATCACTTATTTCCTGTTGAAGTGCTTCTTTGTTGTGTGCTGTGCTGCATTTGAGACAAACACTGTATGTAAATTCTTTGAACAACTTTTTATATCTTAGTGACATGATTTTTTGCCTGGCTTTGATCAGAATATATTATATGTATACGCTTGTTAAATTACAAGACTCTGCAGTGAGACTAATGTGTTTTCCTACTTCTTAGATAAGGCAAGATTAATGGCAAAATTAATTGATTGTTTCATCAAGGTCAAATTGAGCATTTAAGCTCTGGTTATTTGTAAAAACTAGAGGTTTGTTATTAGGAAAGCATAATTTTCCATATATTAAATTGTGTTGTAACAAGCAAAAACACTTGCTTTGATGGAACAGAGGAAACCACTAAACCCCAGAGTGCTACAGCGGTGTACTAGGGCCAGGCTAAATTTTGTTTTTGACATGCTGTAATAATATGAACATAAAGTTGTAGAATTAAGCAACAAAGTCATTATACAGTATTATGAGAATAAAGACCTACATTATAAAGTCGTCATATTACAAGATTAAAGGTCTTATATTATACTACATTTAAAAATAAAAAATGTTAACAATTAGCTCTGCAGAGCATGTTTCTGCTATTCATGCAGGAAAATTCCTCTCAAATTATGCAGACAGTCTGTACTAGAAACCCCCCCATTCAGCCCTCCTCTAAACAAGCTGCTTTGGCTTTACACGCCCTCGCCCTCCCAATGGCCATGCCCCCACACCCCGCAACCATGACAACCAGTCAGCGTTTGTAGTGATGGCAGCTCGGAGAGCTGAATTATACAGAAGACAAAGGCCGACCTTAACCAATGAGCTGCTACAGACCCCTCTGAGCAGATTATAAGTGACAACAACACATAACAGTAGCAGCTTGACTACATAGTTGCTCATTGCCATACAAGTTTGTTGATAAAAACAATAACACAAATTTCTTTTATGCCATCAGAAATGCAGACAATTCTCAATCTCCTCAATCTCTCACTCAATTTCCTGTATTGAACTGAGGTACTACTTACAAGAGTAATTTCATACAAGCACATGATAAGAATTACTGCCGATGACATATTAGAAAAAAACTGGTTGTGAAGCATAGGAAGGTTATCCATCTTATAAAAACCGTCCACTTATCAAAAAAGCTGGTAACATAAATGTTAGCTGCAATGCTACCATGTTTATGGGCTAAGTAGTACAACACAGTAAAGTCCTGTTCAGTTCTTACCTTTGCAGCTTTGTAACGGACAGTTGATACCAATCCACTCTTCGATTTAAGGTGTGTGGAGAAGCCTGCTTTGTTAGCACCCATGTTGTGAAGTATTCCTCTTTGAAATGCTTTAGGTTTATCAGGTGGATTTTCATTAGATTAAATCTATCCTCTGTGTCTTTAGTGGCTCAGATGAAGGCAGAATAAAAATGACCCATTAGCCACATCTGTTTGGATGCTCGGTTATCGGTGACCGAAAAGGTGGGTGGGAGTGGTTATTTAAATATTCAATATTTTTGAAACAGAGCATTGTGAGCACACATTTTCTAAGAGGAGGAACAAGGCAGCGAGAGAGGCAAAAATTTTATAGTGTGAATTTTTTATCATAATATGGACCATTAAAGTTGTAACATTACAAGGTTAAAATGGTAATATTATGAGAATACAGTCATAATATTACCAGATTAATGAGAGAATATTACGAGATCAAAGTGATAATATAATAAAATAATATGTTTAATGTTATAAAACTCTTTTGCTATCATCCTCTGATTTGATATGAGGACTGTTGAGAATCTTGATAAGTTATAATTTTGTATCATTTTACAAATAAGGAAATATTAAACCTTTTAAACCAGGGGTCTTCAATGTTTTCTAGCCAAGGACCCACAAAATTATGGCGAAATGGAGCGGGGACCCCCTAATTATATGTATTGTATGAAATAGTGTTATATCAAACCTGTCCTATAGTCACTCTATTACAGATAGAGTCATGTAATGAAAGTAATTTCGCCCTGGGATTATTAAAGTGTTTTTGATTCAGATTCCTCGTTGATGGGACCGGTGTTGTGAATATAACGGTACCCAGATTGAAAGAGCTCCAGTGTGTCGCTGAATATGTGCATTGATGTCTGAAAGACATCTTCTGTCTCCATTTACCTGTTTACTGCAGTGTGTTGAATTCATGTTAATGTGTATTTAAAGACATTTCAGTTAGTGGGAAAAATCGCAGGGGGAATATAAAAAAAAATCTAATCAACCTAAAATTTGTGACCCCCATGCAGTATCTCCGAGGAACCCCTAGGGGTCGCGCACCCCCTGTTGAAGACCTCCGTTTTAGACCATCAGCATCAAATTATTAGTGTATTACGGAACTAAGATTGCTGTTTGGTAGTTTGCCTCTAATAATAATCTGATCACTTTATTCTGCTGTGACTTTATTCTCATAACATTGCAACTTATTTTTGTAATACTATTATATTATATTATATTACTATCCAGGAATCTTTGTGAATTCTGCTAGATCATACTAAAGCAATCTGCAGTTTGTGTTGATGTGTTGTGTCTTTAAGCAATATTTTAATTTCTTTTTTTCCCAGCTTTTTTTTTCATTAAATTGTGGCAAGTACAGATCAACGAAATTAACTCTCTGCATTTAACCCGTCCCCTTGGGGAGCAGGGGGCTGCCATTGTGTGGTGCCCTGGGAATAGCGTGGGGTTAAGGGTCTTTGCTCAGGGATCCAGGGTGGCAGTCTGTGGGAGTGGGGCTTGAAATCAGAACCTCTGGATTCCAAGCACAATGCCCTAACCACTAGGCCGCCACTCCCCTGAAACATGGAAGCCCCTCCACCTAATCAAGCCCTGGGCTAAACTAAGATGTTAACTTGCTCAGGTACAAAGGACACACCTTTGACAACCAAAAGGTTTAGATGGACACAGAGGACAGACGGTTTGAAAGAGGGATGAAAGAAACCATGTATTTTTGCTTAAAAGGAACAAAGCATTACTGAACCAAGGGGAAGGACTGGTGTTATAGCTTGTAAGCATCATTCCAAAGAAGTTACCATAGTAAATTCATCATGAATGCAATACATAACACCCTCCATCTCTATGTGGTATAGCTGTTAAAAACAACATTGAATAATTAGGAATTAATAAATCTAAAGATGAGAAGGAAGTAATTTTGATAATACATTGATAACAAGCAAATCCAAGTTAAATATGTGGTTACAAAGAGACCTCATTATAGACTCACTCACAACATCATAGACTCACTCACAACATCATAGACTCACTCATAACTTGATGCAGGAATTATGTTACATTAGAAATAGCAAATAGGTGTGGTTGAGCTTCCCAAACCCCTTTAAGCACCACTTACACAGATATTAATGTGTTTTAGCACTGGACGCCTGCTATAATCGATGGAAGTGTGAACAGAATGAGCTGAATAGTAAATACAGTGGAATGAATGGTAGCTTCCATCTATGCATTGGTAGAGCTTTAGCAATGACAGCTGTGATAATGTCATGGTAATATGCCTTACATACATTTTTAAACCACTCATTGAAAAATGTTTTCTAATTTCAACACGTGGGAAAAAATCTTGTTACAAATATAAAACACAAATATACTTATATAATAGTTGTATTTTTGTGTATATATATATATATACTGACTCAACATATGGGCTGTGAACTGTTATATGTATGTTCTTTTCTGTTCTTAATTCTTCATTATGCTCATTCTAAGTTTGTGTCAGCCTTTTGGTCTTGTTCCAACTGCACATTACATGACACAGGCACTAATCTGGGAGTTAATTTTACATCTCCACCAGCTACTGTGAAAATTTACTGGTGGGCAAAAGAGCACATTTATTACAAATGTCCTGAAATTAATTTGGTCGGAGATTAGAGCAGACTGAGTACTTTATGTCTGGTCTCACTCCTGTAAAGAATAAAAGGGAATAGAAGGTGTCGAAACGAGATGACATGGGCTCCCTCTAGGGGTTACTAACTGGAACAACCTGTCAGAGGCTTAACATACAGTGTACTGACAAATGAGGGACTTAAGGAGCTTTTTGGAATGGAAATTAGAGTATTAGAATACATAGAGAGAGCATAGTTTGATTCAGGAAATTATGCCGAAGGTCTAGTCAGATTGCTGGGAGAATGAGGAAGAGATAAGTCACTTTAATTTGGTGTGTTATGTCTTAATCTGGATAAGAGCTGAAATAAAAACAGCCATGCATCACAGTGCTAAAACTGTCGGGAAAGTCCCAGTGACAGTGTTTTGTGAGAGGGAGGTGAAAGAAAGAGATAAAAATGGACTATATATATGACTTGCAGAAGAAGGAAAAGGACATCTCCTCTTTAACAAAAGACTAATGACCAAAAAAAGCCATCCATTATGTCTTTGTGTCAGGAGTTACTTGGGAGAAATTCACTATATTTTTTAAGATTTATTGCTGCTAATAGTTTGTATAGCATCCTTTGCCGATAGGACATCAGGTTGTATTTTTAACAGTATGTAGTCTACATACTAGAATAGTAAGATAAATAAAAATGCCATGAAATACATATGTGTGCATCAAATGTTCCATGAAATGATGAAATGCCACGTTATTTCCTAACATTATGTTATTTCCGAACTGTCTGTCTTTGTTTTTGGTAGAGATATGTGGAGACCTTCACAAATTTTCTGTTGGGTTAATTAGTTAACTAGCAGCCTAGGCAGAACAGAAGAATCCTGTATGTGAAGGCATATTTCACTTAATGAAGTTAAAGAAGAACACATTATTTTGTGGAATGCACTGTGTAAGAGATGAAAATATACGCATCTTTATATGTTTTAGGTTTTATAATAAAGAGCTTCAGCCATTGCCTAAAACTTTTTTGTAGTTATTTTACAGAAGGATGTAGTCCCAGTTCCACAAGGATTATTTGCTTGTTATTGTTAATGATGTCCATAAGAATAATAAGAGATTTAAAAAAAAGTTTTGAGC